TACAATAATAATAGCATTCACTATTATATCGGTTCTACTTCAAATGTATGTACAACTGTAACAAAATTTAGTGTCATGACTTTTACAGGCGATTCTACATCTTTAGATCGATAGAGATTGTAAAAAAAGTTGTTGCAAAAGTTGATCTTAACTTTAAACTTCAAAATAAAATTTTTTTATTATTGCATCGTATTCTATTTGTCATGAATATATTTTTGCAAACGTTCTCTTGATAAATGATATTATATTATAAGTCTCATCACCAGTGAAATGATTACATATTTTTGATTATTATACATTATTATTATACATTCTGTAATCACGATATTGTATTCGGATGTAAATGCTTTGAAAAAGTCTGTAAATACGTCATATCTGCTCATTCTCTTTTATTCTTTTTCTTACTCATAAAATGGAGCCACCGATATCTATGCTTTTTAACAGTCATGCTTGTTTACTAGCTTCAATATGACCAACATAAACAAAGTCTTAATTTTGATTCTAAATTTTTTCTGACTCTATTATTAGGCACATTGAATAATTTTAATTATTGCACAAATTTTATTGCTTCTACTGATTCATAAACTATATGCTTCATTGTTCCTCCAAAAAGGAAGTCAACAGGAGAATTGGAGAATGAGACAATCAAATGAAATGCAGGTTTACACTATTCATCAACTTTCAAATATTTCTGATAAAAATTCACGTATGGAATATAATCTAATGAAATATAACAGTGCCCCATCATGCACAGAAAAAATTTTACGTTGTCTATGAAGTGATACAGCTTGTCCCAATTTATGAAAAGCAATCTAAGGAAACGCAGATGATTTAAAGATAAATTTGGCAAGTAAAAAGAATATTATCTCCAACAGTTCTTTCCTATTAAGTAAAATCGATCTTGATTAAAAGTTTAATCATAGCATAAAAGTTATTGTATACCCAGATTCTAGTATTTTGTGGGTTTTAAAATTTCATGTTGGAAAAATTGCTTTTGCATGTAAAGAGCACAATTTAAAAAAATTGCAGATTTAATTTCTGTAATATTCACCCACAAAAATTACGTTGCATAGTTTTGGTCACGATCATTTTACACACGATGAATACAATAGGACGTAACACAGTTATGTATAACCAAATCGACGTGCAAAAATCTAAATCTAAAAGAGGATGAGCACGTGTAAGTACAAGTACTTGTTCCTCCTTTCTGGAATCGATCTGGTCTTCGATGTCCAATATTAATGATTAATTCAAAATCTTGAAAACATTAATTAAATTTTTGGAAGTTCTCGTTGGTCTAGAATATTTCTAGACTTTTTTTCACTATTAACTAAGTATATGCAATATATATTACGAGCTAAAGTATAATTTCCAAGTGTTTTATCTATACTATGAAGCATTTGACACACGTTATAACGATGAAAGCTACTTCGTCTTCCTCTTTTTCTTTTCTCCATAACGATACCTATTAGATAACAAACCATAAATTACTATGGATATTAGCAATGATCATAATTATCTGTATCGGATCAGTTATTTAATGTATTACAAACTTCTTCAAAGCGTTTACATTCAACATAATATTCGTTTATATAATATCGCAGTTATAGAATGTGTAATAACGTGTTTATATAATATCGTAGTCACAGAATACACATACACTCAAAAACAATCATTTCACTGACAAAAAAATCTTCAACATTATCTATCAAGAGGATTGAATCGTTTGCGAAACCCATAGTTTCTTTTGCAAAATTGATGCTCGTGATGAGTAGAATACGATGCATATAATAGTTAAGTTTGAAATTAGGTTCAGGTTAAAATAATATATATTTCTAGTAATTAAATAAATTTTATATATTAATTATATTTTCTTCTATATTTGTTTCATAGAATGTTACACAGGTATTTTAAAAATTAATATATTTATAAAATATGAAAGTTCATGAAAAAAATAGAATACGGAAACTATATAACTATATATAACATTAAGATATAAAAAGGATATGAGAAATAGAAATTCACAAAATAAAAAGATAACAAATAACCGTGCAAATTGTTTATTTTTGTTTTAGGAAGAACACGGAATTTCAACTACGCATTACTATTATTTTTAATTTCTCTTCTTCTTTTTCATACTTGCTATATGTACTTTTATATTATCAGTTCTTCTTTTCATTTTTATAAACTTTTATTTTAATTTTATATTACGTAAATTATATTATATTATTATGTATATTATATTATATTATATTATTACGTATATTAATTTTTAAAATAACTATATATTTATGAAGTATTTTTATAAAGTAAGTATTTTTAAAAATATTTTAACTATATATTTATGAAGTAAGTATAAAACTAACCAATATAATAATAATAAAACGCCGAACGAGAGAACCTCGGCACGCGGACATCAATTCAACCACCGCCGTACTGATACACAGACAATACAAATTCTGTAATAAAAAGTGTTCATAATTTTCACCATTTATTTCCTTAGGAAATTTCGTTTTTTGTATCTAGGCGGACTTAGTATATACGGGGAGTTTTTCCTTTTTATAATTAATTGTTAAATAGTCATTCATGATAATAAAAAGTAAAGATATGCTTGTTATTATGATACATCATTTTTAATGAATGAATGAAGAGAGAATGTTGATTCTGACTTGGATCATTTTTGCATGTAACAAGTTATACAGCAGATGACTGACTTGATTGCAAAAGTATGGCATATGTTGTAAATATATATATCCTCAGATTTATTAGGTATCTAATCCTAGATGGAGAAAAACTGTAAAAAATAATTAAGTTAAATGGTTATGTCGCGTATGCCACATGAAAATTATTGTGTATCTCAGGTTTTATATTGAATATGTTGTCTCATGAAGTTGTATAATATTTTAGTATACTAACTGATTGTTCAAACTTACTTTTTTTTGTTTAATCCTAAATTCATTTCATTGTGGTTTCTATAGTGAATCTTATAGAAAGCCCATAATTTGTTAAAAGATGTGAATTGCATATACATATTTGGCACATTTTTACGCAATTAAAGAATTGTTCCTTTGGGTGTATTAGGCCATCTATTGTTTATTTGGGTGTTTAACCTGGTTAAATTGGATGGTTAAACAGATCTTCAGATTGAATGTTTAATTATATCTTTCGTTGGCTGGATCGTATTTGATGAATGTATTTGAATTTAATGTATTTCATGACTACAGATTTGTATCTCCTTACAAGTCCTTTCTTATGGTTAGGAGGAGATAAAAAGAAGTGGATTGGTAAGGGGTAGGGCGAAGAAAAAAGAAGGGTAAAACAAAGGAAAAAAGAAAAATAAAAAAGTTGCGAGTAAAGAAAGAATTAAAAGTCAATTCGGAATGTAGTGGGAATAAGAAGTAAGGATGACGAATTTTGCAGTTTCTGAAACAATTTGATTTTATTGGACTGCTGAAAACGTGGGTAGAAGGATATTGAAAAAAAGATTATCAAAAGATTGAAAATGTCAGGCGGTAAGGAAGTAAGAGAAAAGAGAGAGAATACTAATAGAGATAAAAAAATAAGCAAAAGGAAGAAAGTCACAAAGAAGAGAGAATGAATAGTGAAAAGACATATAAAAGTTAGAAGGGAAAACTATAGTTTAGAAGAGAAATAAAAGAAATTACGAAAGGTGGAAAAAGGCTTGTTATTAATCGAGAGGGATAGGTGAAAAAGAAATGAGAGGATGAGATGGAAGAGAAAACAGGGAAGACATAATCTGTTAAAGATAGAGGTAGAACAAGGCTGAACGATACTGAATGGCAATAAGGAAGGTGAATGGATCTTCAGAAGAGATGCAAGGATAGTAATAAATTACGATATAGTGAATGAGGAAACTTACAATAGAAATAAGGCAGAAAAATTTCGAATTGAAGAATTGGAGACTTTCACTATCAGCCATTAATAATGATTAAAAAAAAAAAAAAAAAAGAAAAAAGGAGAAGAGGGAGAGACGTAGAAAAATACAGAGAAATTAAATGAAAAGGGTGTAGAAAAAGGAGTTAAAGACTGAAATAGAAATGAGTGTGTCATGGTCGAAATATATAAAACTGAAAAAAGAAAAGAAGAAAGAATAAAGAAAAAGGAGAAAAAGATGACAAACGAGCAGTAGTTATGAGAGTATATTTGGGAATTCACGGTGAGGGTGGTTGCATCTTGGTTACATCGTGACTTACTACATTGTACTTATTGACTGACTATTTTACAGACTGTACTCTTGTGTACTAGGTGATGCATATTAACTGTTGTGTATTGACTGTTGTGTATTATTTTACTGACAGTCGTGACGTGTTGGAGTCGGCTCTTACATAGGCCAACTTTCTTTATGTTCACGGTTGTGTTGATCGGGACGTAAAGCGTTTTATGACTATTGGCAAAATCAGTCCCATAAAGTAATTTTGGCAATTATTTTATGAATCTAACGATATTGCGTCCTGGTAGTAGGATCAAGGGTAAAGGAACGCATCCTCTACATATATAAACAAATTTAATTAATTAAAGAAGGGTGATGGTTAGTTAGAAAAAAATAATGACGGAGAAATGGGAAAATTGTTATTGAGAGAAAAGAAATTAGAAGAAGATGGGAAAGAAGACGGGAAAAGAGTATAGAGGAAATAGGGGAGGAGAAACAGAAAGAATTGAAAGTGGAAGAAATAGTGAAATAAAGAAGTTGAAGAAAGAAAAGTAGAAGAAAAAGAATGAAAAAACGAAGCATGGATACACAGTGGAGTAAAAATAGGAATGACATTAGTGAAAATAAT